TTTGATTCCATTGTGATTAGAGAAAACACTATTCTTTATTTTTTTTTTTTTTTTGAAACATTATGATTTCTTTTCTTTTAAATGTGTTAAGGCTTTTTTTATGACCCAGGATGTGTATTATGCTGTCATTGGGGGGAGTAGTATACAGGTGGTCTTAAGAAAGTTAATAAAAAGATTTATATTATCTTTTTTTTTTTTTTTTGTCTTTTTCCGTGTCCGGCAACGGATCGCAACCCTCAGTGTTGCCCCCGTACCGGACCGGGGACCGGCAACGGGATTGCAACCCTCGGTGTTGCTCCCGCGCCTCGCTCAGCCAGTGAGCGGGAACCGGTCTGTATGTGGGATCCGAACCCTCGGGCAGGAGCGCCACCGCACTTCCCAAGCGGCGCACTATCCAGTGCGCCACCGGGCCGGCCCTATATTATCTTTTTTTATCAGCATAAATAATTTATTGCAAACTCTCTAATATCGTACACTAGTGGGCTTGACAATTCACTCAGGAGTATTCCAGGATGGGGGGGCCCACGAGGTAAGGAGTATCATGAATGTGAAGCATGTGAAGACAGATTGATGAAGGGCAGACTGCATTCATGACTTGGCCTCCAGGTGACCAGTCTTGATCAACTAAGCTAACTTTGGCAGGAAGGAGCTGGGCCAGTCCAAGAATCTGAAGTTCTCATTTGGTCGGCCCACCCCAGGTTTCCAGCTCTTCCTCCTGCTTCCTCATTCATGATCCTTTGTAGTGAAACATGTGTGGAAAGGTAAGAAGCTCTAGAGCTGTCAGGCTTGTGGGTGCTACCAGCTGAGCATGGGGTCCCCAGTCTAGTCTGGCTGGGGAAGGCCCCAAGGACTTGGGCCTTCATTGCAGTAGCTTCAGACAGGCCAGCATGAGGAATAAGGGCTTGCCTTTGGGGGGCTGCTCTTCCTCTGTAGCATCAAGGAGCTGCTTCATGTAACAGGAGGTACCAAGCAACACATGGCCTATGACCTGCATGCTGAAGAGGGCCCAGTGAAGTGCTTCCTTCATGATGTGCTTGGCCCATAGCAGTGCAGATCACAGGAAAAGGAGTATGTATTATAGAGAGTCACCTTCATGTTCAGGTAGCCAATGAAGTCCTGTGGGTTCAGCTTGTACAGGTAAAAGGTTATGTGGGCCACCTCGATCTTCTTGGCAGGCTCATGGGAGAGAGAGAGTTGGTACCTAGTCACCTGTTCTGATGGGGGTTGCCATTTCTGCCCCTTCTGGAGGACCATAAACACTGTATCCTCTGCCAAGGCTTGGAAATACTCTCCTGTCTCCACAGTTGTGCCATCTTCCTCTAGCACCAGGAAGAAGGGCTGGTCTGTCAGTATCAGGGCATCCTGGATCTTGCAGAGGAGGTCCTCAAGATTGTGAGCCATGATGCCCTTTCTCACACTGTGATCCACAGTACTCACTCAGCAGGCGGCCACTGGACTGGGCTCCGACAGCAGCTGCTGGGTCCCTACTGCCACATGCCTGGGGGCAGTTGGATTGTCAGGATAAGCTGCCTCTGTATTATCTTTTAATTTAATTTTTCCATGAACTTTTTGAGGTACCCTAATTTAAATGTCAGGTAGATCTTTCTAGTTGATGATGTTGTCGAGTTTGTCTATAACTTTCCTGATTTTCTGTCTCTTTATTCTATTAAATTTTGGGTTTGTATATTTCTCCTTTCAGTTCTATCAGATTTTGCTTTACATTTTTACATATTCCCACTTGGTATAATCATTACATAATGTTGCTGTATGTCTCTGCTAATTTTCTTCGCTCTGAAGTCTACTTTACTTAGTATTGTTATACCTCTTCTGTATTCTTTTGGATAATGTTTAGCTGATGTATTAGTCTGTTTTATCCCACTTGGTATAATCATTACATAATGTTGCTGTATGTCTCTGCTAATTTTCTTCGCTCTGAAGTCTACTTTACTTAATATTGTTATACCTCTTCTGTATTCTTTTGGATAATGTTTAGCTGATGTATTAGTCTGTTTTAGTGTTACTCTGACAGAATACCTGAAACTTGGTAATTTATAAAGAAAAAAGTTTTATTTGGCTCATGATTCTGGGACAGCTGCATCTGATGCAGGCCTCAGGATGCTTCTGCTCATGGAGGAAAATGGCAGGGCAGATGGCAGGTGCAAGGAGATAATATGGCGAGAGGAAGCAAGACAGAGAGGAAGCTGGAGATACCAGCTCTCCTGGGAACTCTTAGAGCAAGAACTCACTCACTTCCCTCCCTCCCTCAGGGAGGGCATTAATCTATTCATGAGGGATCCGACCCTGTGACACAAACACCTCCCAACACTGCCACATTGGGAATAAGACTTCAACATGAGCTTTGGGTGGTGGGGAGGCAACATATGCAAACTATATCACCTGATACCTTTTTCCATTCTTTTACTTTTAACCTATCTATATTGTATATTTGAAATAAGTTTCTTGTAGACATCATATATTTGTCATGTTTTTTAATCCAATCTTTGCCAATCTCAGTCTTTAAGTTGGTATAGACCATTGATATTTAATGTAACTATTGATATGTTATCCCTCATCTGCTATTATTTGTTTTCTCTATTTTTGTTTATCTTTTTCCTGGCTTCCTGGTGGCTACTCAAATATTTTTTACAATTCCATTGTAATTTATCTATAGCATATTTGAGTTTATCTCTGTGTAACTTTTTAGTGATTACTGTACATATTGCATACACAGTCCCTCGATGTCGACATTTTACCTGTTCAAATGTGTAGAAACTTTACCTCTCTTTATGTCCTTTTATCCTTTCCTGTTTATAAAATGTTTGCCTTAAATATTTCTTCTAAATATTTAGATATTTAAACATTTAGACATTTAGACATTTAGAACTATATCGGGCCATGTAATAATTTTTGCTTCAACTGTCAAACATAATTAAGAAAACTCAAGAAGGAAATAATATTGTTATTTTCACAATTTCAGACATATTTTCACTCTCCCATTATTCTCTTTTCCTTTCTTGTATTCCAAAATTTCTTTTCTCATTTCCTTCCTCTTTAGAGATATTTCTTTAGCCATTCTCAGGGAAAATTTCTTTTAGAGACACATTCTTGTAATATTCCTTCATTTGAGAATATCTTTTTTTTTTTTTTCCTGTGGTCTTTGGCTGAAGTAGAATCGTTATCATCTAAAATCTTTCTTTTTTTCAAGGCTACTTCTTTCCTGATCCTTTGGTTAGAGAGAGGAGGTTTCTTTGTGGGATTTTCTTTGTCTGTGCCCATTGGTGTTTTCAGGTTGCTAGCTTCTTTAGCCCTGTGTCTGAAATATATGAGGCAAAGAGAATACCCAGGGAACTCACTCCTGTGTTGTTCCTTGGGTCTCCTGGACTGAATCTGTTCTGCCTTCTATCCACTTTCAAAGACTCCTTATGTTTGTTTTCCATGTAATTTCCAGTGTTTGTAGCTGAATTTAGCAGGAGCAATAGGGAAAAGTGCATCTATTTCATCTTCATGGAAGTAGGAGTCCAGTTTTTTTGGTTTTTTTTGTTTGTTTGTTTGTTTGTTTTGGTGGGGGGACCAGGGAGCTGGCTGATATAGGGATTGAACCCCGAACCTTTGTGTTATCAGCACTATGCTCTAACCAATTCAGTTAATCGGCTGGCCCTTCCTTCGTTCAGGTTTTAAAATAAGAGTTTACTAAGTAATGTGGTAAACAGAATAATAGTCCCCCAAATTTGTACACATCCCAATCCCTGGAAACTGTGAATATGTTACTTTACGTGGCAAAAGTGATTTTCCAAATGTGATTACAATAAGGATCGTCAGATGGGGAGATTATCCTGGGTAATCTGATTGGGCCCAATCTAATCACATGGGCACTTAAAAGTGGAGGACCTTTACCAGCTGTGGTCTGGGAGAGAGATGTAATGACAGAAGGTCAGAGAGATGTAATGTTGCTATCTTTTAAGATGGAGGAAAGGTTGTGGGCGGCCCCTAGAAGATGGAAAAGTCAAGGAAACAAATCTTCTTTTAGAGCCTCCAGAAAGGAACATAGCCCTGTCAATTTCTTGGTTTTAGTTCAATGACATCTATGTCAGACCTCTAACCTACAGAACCGGAAGATAAATTTGTATTGTCTTAGCACTGTAATTTATTGCAGCAGCAATAGAATACTAATACAGTAGTGTAGGATTCCTATAAAGCAATAATCAGACCAAATTTTTACCTGAAGATTGATAATAATCTTATTTCAATTTAAATTAAATAGAGACACAAATAACCTCATGAGGTTATCATCACTTATCTTCTAAAAAACAGTACGTTTTGATGGTTAAGAATTCCAAAATGAGATAATACATGTGCATTTTTCATGTCCTTGATATGTAAAAGATATTCAATAAATGCCTATTGAAGATGTTGGAAACTGTAGGAAAACAAATAGAAATTACTAAATGTCACTTTTAAAATCTTTAGAATGCATGAACTGTCTAAGATTATTCAGATATTTTATTACTGCTTCATGTTTGTATTTTACAGATAGTGAAGCTAATTCTCTAATGGATATAGAAAATGTAATTCTGACTAAAGTCCATGAAGATGAGGAAGACCATTCTGATGCAATATTAAAATCTGACAAGTTTCATCAGGACTTATTTTTTATGGAACGGGTTCTAATGGAAAATGTATTTCAGCCAAAACTTGCAGCTTATCGTCAGCTTCCTGTTTTAAAAGGTATTTTTTAAAAAAATCACATTTAGACAAACAAATAATTTTAAAAATGTAAATGATATTATTACATATTTCTAAATGTAATATCCAGACTGGGTTATTACTAATCAGAGGACATGTTTACAAAACTTTCAGCACTGAACATGTGAGTAGCAGTAGAGTCCAGACTTGGGAGTTTACAGAAGCAGGTTGTCCCTTAGATTCAAAACTTCGTAAGCATCTATGGCTCTTTTTTTATCCCTTGTTCCTGCATTCAATTAGTTACTTTCTTTTACAGTATCTCTCATATTCAAGCCTCCTTTTCCATTGTCATTGACACTTTCCAGGATCTGGCTTTTATCACAACCTCCTAATTTTATTGTAGGGGCATTCTTTCTATTCTCATTGCTACAAGTCTCATCTCACATTCACAGAATATTTTAAAGGATTTTAGAGATTACCTAATTTAACCTTTCAATACGTGAATGAAGTGAATGAAGGCTATAGAAACTTTCTAAGGTTACATAGTAAGTGGCAAAGCTTGGCATTCACCCAAGGTCTTTTGATCCCAAGTTACAGTTCCCTTTCCACTATGCCATCCCATCCTGCTGATGTATCCTAAACACAGCATGGCATTTAACTGCTCAAAAACCTTCAGTTCTTTCCCATTGCCTAGAATAAATTATAAGCCTCAGAGTGTATCATTTAAAAGATACCTGCAATCTGGCCATAGGCTACTTTATATCTTTGTATTACTTTGGAGACCCTAAAAGGTAGCCATTTCTAGACTTAGCTGGTAATCCCCAAATAGAACCTAAACTTTCTTGCTTTAGTAACTTTAGTTGGAATTTGCCAACCCATCTTTGCCCATTGTACTCACAACTTTCAAATATGGATCGAGGAAACTCCTTTAAAAAAATCTTTCTTGATCCTTCAAGTTAAAATTAATTTTCTATATGATTACATCAAAAAATTAGATCACAAAATACTATGTGTGACAAATGGTTGTAAACCTTTTCCCCTATGTACATCTAGAAGAATATTGAAAACCATGTTGCTTTCCTCATATCAGGTTGATATTTAAAATTTTTAATTATATATGTAAATTTTATTTTTTATTTTTTAAAGAATTTATTTTTTAATTGAAACATATTGATCGAACATATTTATGGCTCTGGCTAGTAGCTCAGTTGGTTAGAGTGTAGCCTTATAACACCAAAGTTAGGGTTTGGATCCCTATACTTGCCAGCTGCAAATAAATAAATAAATAAATAAAAAAGAACTGATTATACATATTTATGGATTAAAGAGTTATATTTCAATACATGTATATATTGTGTAATGATCAAATCAAGGTAGTTAACAAATTTATCATTATAAAAACGTAGCATCTCTTTGTGATGAGAGCATTTGAGCTCCTCTTTTCTAGCCATTTGAGAACATACAGTAAATTATTGTTAATTATAGATGTCTAGCACTAGTGTACATCGCCGGAACTTTTTTCTATCTAGCTGTAATTTTGTGTACATTAACCAACCTCTTACTATCCTCCCTCTGTCTCCCCTCCCCAGCCCCTAGTAATCACAAATCTACTCTCTACTTCTAAAAGTTCAACTTATTTATTTTTAGCTTTTACATATGAATAAGAATACGAAGTATTTATCTTTCTGACTTATTTCACTTATCATATCTTCCAGGCTCATCCAGGTTGCCACAAATGACAGGATTTTATTATTTTTCATGGCTGAGTAGTATTCCATTTTGTATATTATACCATATTTTCTTATCTATTCATGTGTTGTTGGACACCTAGGTTGATTCAATATATTGGCTATAGTGAATAGTGCTGCAATAAACAGATAAATAATAAACAATAAACAAATAATAAATGGGGTGCAGATATCTCTTTGGTATGCTAATTTCCTTTCCTTTGGATAAATAGCAAACAGTGGGATTGCTGGATCATATGGTAGTTCTAGTTTTAGTTTTTTGAGGAACCTCCATACAGTTTTCCATATGGCTGTACTAATTTACATTTCCACCAACAGTGTGTAAGAGTTCCCTTTTCTCCACATCCTTTCTAGCATTTGTTATTTTTTGTCTTTTTGATAATAGCCAGTCTAACTGGGTGAGATGATATCTCATTGTGGTTTTGATTTGAATTTCCCTGATGATTCATGATGTTGAGCATTTTTTCATATACTTGTTGGTCATTTGTATGTCTTCTTTTGAGAAATACCTATTCAGGTCATTTGCCCATTTTTTAATCGGATCATTTGTTTTTTTGCTGTTGAGTTGTTTATGTTCCTTGTATATTCTGGATATTAATCCCTTGTGGGATGAATAGTTTGCAAATATTTTCTTTCATTCTACTGGTTGCCTCTTTTCTCTGTTGATTATTTCTCTTACTATGCAGAAGTTTTTTCATTTGTAAATTTTATAATCTGTATTTAAAGAGTTGAAAGGTTGCAATTTACAGGGTACTATAAATATTGACATTTATAAAACAAAACTGTTGGTGTATCATTCCTTTAAATTATCTAAGAAATAAAAAAACCATAGCTAATGTTTTAATGAGGAAAGATTTACATACAGTGAAATACATATATTTTAACTTTTTTTTTTTACTATGTTCTGAAAATGTATAAACTCATGTAACCAATACCCTGGTCAAGACAGAAAACATATACATCAACCTAATAAGTTACCTTGTGCTGTTTTCCCAATAAACCTTACTGCTGCCTCTCCCTCACCCCCCCACCCCTGGCAGACAGAAACCTGATTTCTGTCACCACAGATTAGCTTTCTCTATTCTAGCATGACATAAGTGGGCTCATATAGTATATTTTCTTTTCGGTCTGGCTTCCTTCACTTAACATTAATGTTTTTGAGATTCATCTAGGTTGATGTGTGTATAAGTAGTTCGTTTTTCTTTTGAGTAGTGGTCCAGTGTCTGAATATATCATACTGAGTTTTTTATCCATTCACCTGTTGATGGACACCTGGGTGGTTTTCAGTTTGGGGCTATTATGAATAAACCTGCTGTGAACAGTTTTGTTTGAGCCTTTTGGTGGACATAGGTTTTAATTTCTCTTGTGCAAGTATCTAGGAATGGAATTATTGGGTCTTTAGATAGTTGCATGACTTTTAGAAACTGATATGCTTTTCTAAATAGTTATACCGTTTTACACTCCCACAATGTGTAAGAATGCCAGTTACTTCACAATCTTGATAAAACCTGCTGTTTATCAAGCAGGTTTTAATGTTGTCATAAAGACTGAGTCCTTATTCATGTGGTTTAATTTGGTCATTTGTATGTGTTCTGTTGTTTAATGTTTGGTTAAGTCCTTTGCCAATTTTAAAATTGAGTTTTGTTTTTTTTTTTTACACTCAAGTTTAAGAGCTTATTTTTGCAATTCTGAATATAAGCCCTTTGTCAGATACATGTATTACAAATGTTTTCTCTTATAAGTATATGGCTTACCAATTAATTTTCTTAAAAATGTCTTTTGATGAGAAGTTTTGAATTTTGATGAAGTCTAAATCATCAGTTTTTTCTTTTATATTTAATTCTTTCCAAGACCTCTCTAACAAATCTTTGCCTGCTTCAAGGTTGCAAAGATGTACTTCTAGGTTTTCTTCTAGATACCATATAGTTTTAGCTTTTATGTTTAGGCCTATTATCTATTTTTGTTTTTATAAAATGTTAATTTTAATTTAATTTATTATTATTATTTTTTATTTTTGTTTTTTGTCAACTGGCCAGGACAGGGATTGAACCCTGGACCTTGGTGTTATAAGCACCATGCTCTAACCAACTGAGCTAACTGGCCAGCCCCAAATTTTTACTTTTAATAAATTTTATTGTGTATATTTAAGGTATATAAAATGATTTTATGAGATACACACACACACACATATATATATATATATATAGTAAAGTGGCTATTTTAATGAAACAATTTAATATATTCATCATATTATCTATTTTGAATTAATTTTTTGTGAATGTAGTTGGTAAAATATCAAGGTTTTGTTTTGTTTTCTCTTTTTATGTACATCTAGTTGTTTCAGCATCATTTTTTTAAAAAAGTTTTTCTTTTTCTATTAATTTTTTTGTCCCCTGGTCAAAATCATTTTACCACATGTTAGTGGGTTTATTTCTAGAATCTGTCTTGCTATTTGTTTATCCTATAGAAAATAACACAATGTATTGATTACCACAGTTTTAAAATAAGTTTCAGAATCAGGTAGAGTATGGCCTCTGAAATTGTTCTCTTCCTGCATGGCTTTAACTATTTTAGTTCCTTTTCATTTCCATATATATTTTAAGAGCAACTTGTCAATTTTTTCCAGAAAGCTTAGTGAGGTTTTAATTTGTGTTGTTAAATCATAGATTAATTTGGGAAGAACTGACATCTTAACAATATTTAGTATTCTAATCTATGAACATTTTATATATTTTTCTATTTACTTAAGTATTTAAAATATATATCAGGAATTAAAAAATATTTTTCATATACAGGCCTTACTTATCTTTTGTTAAATTTATCTCTTAATGTTTTGAATGGTATTGCTTTTAAAATTTAATTTTATAATTGTTTTATGCTAGAATATAGAAATCACTGACGCACATCAACTTTCCACCTGCATTTTCAATAGCTTTCTTTTAGGTCCATTACTTTATTTTTTGTGGATTAGGGTTTTATATATATATTAACAATCCTGTTATCAGTAAATATGATTTTTATTTCTCTTTTTAAAAATATTTTTGCCATTTTTTAACTTATTGCACTGGCTTGGATCCCTAGTACAATATTGAATACACATAGTATGAGCAGATATTCTTGTCTTATTCCTGCAGTTAGGAATAAATCATTCAATATCTCATCATTAAATATGATGTTAACTCTCTTTTTATAATAGATGATTTTTATTGGTTTGAGGAAGTTTTCTTCTCTTTCCAGTTTGCTAGACAATTTTTAAGATCAATGGGTGTTGAATTTTGTTCAAAGCTTCTTCTA